AATTTGTATAAATTATAATCGATGGAGTTGGCACATGTCCCATATGTGCTTCTGAAAAAATCAATATCAGGCATTGCCCGGCTGTTGACTAAAATTACGCAAGTAAAGTGTTTGCGATTAATGTCGTTTTATATAATACTCAAGTGCCAGTTTTACCCTACATTACCCACTCGCAGTAGTAGTCGCACGTTACTGTCAGACAAACGTGTCCGTGACTTTGAGTGCACTTCATTATTGCCGACTGGCAAGAAGAGTCTTGTGCGTCACTCGTAGTATGAGTTGAGAGTACAAATTTATTTTTTGTAGTGACTATTTTAATTTTTTTATACATAACTTTATGATGTAGTTTTATGATCTTGTATAAACTGTACATTCTCACGTGACTTTTTGTTTCCGATTGCAGGACTTCTTATTAATATAATATAATCTATGTCTTTTTAATTTTTTACTAAACTTCTTGAGATTATATTAATAAAAAAATAAAAATAAAAAATATTATATTAAAAGTATTTAAATATACATTTACACAATATATATAATATTATATAATAAATTAAATCATTATTAACGAAACTTTATATATAAATTTATATTATCCTGTCATGAATCTTGAGCGTCGCAATGTGAAAATTTATAATACTTGTTGCAGTAGTGAACATAGAGATGTCCAAGTGTTTAATCTTTAGAAGACGTTATCAAGCTAGCAGCGACGGCTCATATATATGAAATTTCAAAGTTACGTAATATTATAATTTCCAAGAATCTTACTTTAGAGAAGGAAGCTCATTTCCGTCCCCTGGAGGTGTATAGTTTCACTGTCATCTTGATGAAAAGATACATACAAGTTACATCTGTGTAATGTACGATAGTCTGTGTGTGTGTGTGACTTATATAATGTTTTCATAAATTACAGGCTGTACGTGTCTTTTAAAATAGGTACGTTAACGTCACTATTCGACATCAAAACAATAAGAAAGTTTGATATGAATAGCTTTATCGATCCTCGTGTTAGGAACTCGGAAATAGTTTATGCTAGCAGAACTGCCTTGTTTCGGCATGCATAATTTTGAATATTTCTATATGAACAATCTATTATTCGCATATTATATCTAACTCGAAATTATGATGCAAAAATAAATCAACTAAATACATCAGAAAATAGAGCTTGACAAATTATTATTACAAATATACATAAATTGCATATCAAACAATGTCCATTTTCGTCAGCATTTTCTAATAAAGTATCTGGAATTATTTCTGAGAAATAAAGCGCATAATGATTTAATTTTTGAGTGAATTGTCTACTTAGGCCGTATTTTGATATACACTGCTATAGTACTGAAATTTTATAATACAATTCACATTACATATACTATAGATTTTCAGTACTGGCAGTGTATATCAGAACGCGACCTTAATTACATCATAAATATAACAAAACTAAATCTTCAACTTTCTAAGTAATAAGTAACATAATATTCCACGTAAAATTAATTTATGGAAACCTGTAACATATAATAAACTATCGCAGAAAGTGTAACACGCCCATCGTATCCGGGCGTATCACAAAGTCTTGTGAAAATGTCAGTTCCGAAGAGTAACATCAAAGTTCGTACTTCTTATCTAACACATTACTGAAACGCGACTGAAACTGAAAAGTTGAAGACATTACGAGCGTGAACTTCTCGTTTTTAACGCGACGCTACATTTTTCTCAGAGGCAATAGTAGCTTCACATTCCCTCGAAATTGTGAGCACCTTTTACACGCTGTGCCACTACAGAGAGAGAGTGGCAATAAATGTCAGTGCGGGACATTTTATTATGGTTCCTCCACTATGGTACTTTTCTAGGCATCGTTACCTGCAGGCTGACCCACGAATATGTATTCGATTTTATCACCGCTGATTCCGACATATACTTCCATTGGGACCCACATCCTGTCTCATCGCGAAACATATTTGCCTTATATCTATTTTATTGCCCGTGCGGCTTCGTCTTTATGCTCACTTTCTCTTGACAAATATTTCCACTTGAAACAAAAAGGAGCGCGCACACACATACGCACACCTGCGCGCTTCAGGAAGATTTTAATATTTTCATATAGCAACTAAAGTACAATTACAAATATATGTACCTATATCTTTATACGTTATATATAACATCTTTATATATATATATATATATATATATCTTTATACGTTATATATAACATCTCTCATTACGTTATATTCTGTAAAAAATAGACAAGGTTCTAAATAACGTAATGAATACCTTTTTATACAGACGATCTTTTTTTTTACAAATCGTGTAAAAATATTACAAACGCATACAAACATATATTGCATGCACCTCTCGAAATCGAAAACATGTTACAAAAGACATGACGTGATAGCGTACAATACCGAATTTTGTTCAGTGTGGGTATTGGAATTCGATATTTTCGTGTGTCGCATACATGTCAGCACATCGTCGAAAATGCCGTAATCGACACCGTAAACAATGCAAAAGTCTACCAAATATATCGTTATAAAAACTTATACCTACCATTTGTATTCATATTTTATTTCACTTTCTGCATGTTTTTCCTGAAAGCGCTCTGTTTAAAAAAAATATCGTTTTAAATCAATAGATCATTATTAAATAAATATTGAATATGACAACTAAAAAGAAAATAATTTACAATAAAAAACAATGATAATCATCAATTTTCTAATTAAAGAACAAAATTTGTTACGAGCACAATTTAAATGTACGTGATATTTTTTTCTAAATTCCATTGAAATTTTTTTATTTACAAAACAGAATGTATCAAATTCTATTTATTTACGTTGATAAAACTATATGCATTTTGTTTAAATGTTCCAAAAGTTTTGGATGAATTTAATCTCTAATATTTTGCTGCAACAATAAAAATGAAGGAAAAACATTTGTTTCTCTACTGCCACTATGCTAAATGGAGCACGGCGTCTGTAAAGCGATGTCAGCAAACTTTTAATCAGCAATTTGAAGTTACGCTTCGATGGAATCGGCCACATTCATTTGACTGTAAATAAAATACATTGGAACAAATGTTTGAAGCAATTATTACTCGATACCGCCAATTTAAGCAATTTTATACTACTGGGAAATCGATATCAGTATTTGTGTCAAAATATTCAATTTATGTTGAAATCAAAGCTATGAATTTTCCGTGTTAAACTTAAAGTTATTGTTTTTCAAATACCCAAGAAAAGAGAAGCAATCGATATTTAATATTCCCTACAAACAGTATACAGAATTTCCATGATATCGCAGTCGATTCTAATCCGAGGGGATGGGCAATACGTACGGCCTATGTATAAACAAATCTTTACGATTGATCATAATTTTATAATAAACGAAAATTTATTTGTACTCGGCTTTTGAAATCTTTATTCCGTTATATAGTTTATGTGATCACATTTATTTATGTGATTCACTTGATGTGAACACAATCGTCATAAATACGATAAAATTGGCGTGTATTTGTACGTCAAATTGCTAATTTTTTTTATAATCAATATATTCCATCAAACTGATTTCCAATACGTGGAATTTTCGTGGCTTTCCAATAATTTTATTTTACTTGGCTTACTTTTAGTATTTTCTCGATTAATTGTTATTATAGTAGTATACTATTTTCCTTATTTATTTTTATCTTTAAATTAAAAAATAAAATTAATAAATTGATAAAAATTGAAAAAATTGCTATTTTAGAGAAAAAAAATTTGTTAAAGAATTGTTACTTTAAATATTTAACATTTTCCAGTTTAAGAAGCCACCGATTCATTTATCCTTAATATGATTGTCTTCCGTTTTCTTACATCCTTTGTACTTTATTCATCTTAATGATATTGCGCCCTTGGTGTATCAGCATTAATCATGACTTAGACTTTTATGCACAAAAGAATTTAACGTTACTCTTAGAGTGAATCTTGTTAGTTGTATATGTCAGATGCATGAAAGGGCTTCATTTTGAGGAGCGATTTTCTCAAAAGGCGGCCAACAATGGCTGTCAGTTCTTGCCTCAACGACATCTGACCCGAATGGCACAGCTGTGGTGAATTTAATTGCACTTGCTTATAACTAGGATAAAGAATGAACCAAGATCGCCTAAAAGAACGACGAAAAATTCTTGGAGTAAAAAATCAGGACGCTTAAATGAAAAACTTTCGAAAGATGTCTCATTAAGTTAATAACCTTTCTAAAAACGCAACTATAGTTTGTTAAATACATGCATTATTCCACTTTTTATATAAAGTTTATTATTTAAAAGAATGTTTACCTCATTATGCAAATAATAGAAATTTTTGAGTGAAAACAGCCAAACATTGCTTTAACATTTAAGGTACCAAGCTGTCATTATTGACCCTTTCATCTTTTTACATTAACATTATGTTTCTTATGTAAAAATAGAATTTTGAAATTCTTTGGCTTTTTAATAATTATATTCTTTATATTAATGAAGTTCTCAATATAATGGTTCTCTCTTTATCACTTTTTATTTTCATAGTAATTTATTCGCTTATTTTTTTTAATGAATAAGAAAACAATGTTAAAATATTCGATTTTGTTTATTTATTTTATTACTTCATATTTATATTTTATGTACATTATATTAGAGAAAAAAGAACTATATGATTGATTTATGCAGTTTTTAATATTTTGTTTATTTTTATTTTTGTTTTTACAAGCATCAATTATTATTAATTTCATTTTGTAAAAATTCATAATTACAAGTATATATTAATTTTATAAATTAATGTCTTAGTTCGATTTTATTCAGTTTTTTAATTAATATTTTTACGAATATATATATATATATATAAATTATATGTACGTAAATTATATAAGATAATGTCAAAAATTTTCTTTGAGAAAATTTTATTTTTTTTTTTTAATTGTACACGCAAATATAAAATACATCGATCCCGTATCTGATACAGATATTATCATTTACGAGCTCCCGTTTTATGTTCCAGAATGGATATTCAATCGGCACAAAAGAATGGGAGCTTTTATCAATGCTGTAGCGGATTTTGCATCGATCTGCTGCAGAAGTTTTCCGAGGAAATTGGTTTCACTTACGAGCTCGTAAGGGTGGAGGATGGCAAGTGGGGTACTTTGGAGGTGAGCTTGAGCAAAATTCATGAAAGGTGCTGCTTACTTACGTCGCACGGAAGATAAATGTGTCTTGTAATGCAACGAGAAAATTCCCGCGGAGCATTTACCGCAGCCGCAACGACGCTCTTATTTCTTCCTTTTGGACGTTTAAAATTTTCTGTCCTTTCATGTCTGCAGCAGACGCCTACATCGCGAACGAAATGTAATGCAGCTTTAAAGGCATGACTGATTGCTTTTAGTCTTAACACCTCTGGTAAATTTTTCGAATATAAAAAGAGAGAAAATTAATTGTGCTCTACTGTTGCAACTCTCGATGTAGGACTATGTGATTTGAAAGCCGTATTATCTGACGATAGTAATTCTCTGCACGTGTGTTGACCCAGCTGATGAGTATTATTACGAAATGAACGCATGAATGAGCTTTCGACGCATTTAATTTCCGCTGCACAAAAGTTACTTCCGTCGATGCAACATATATTTACACTTCAGCAGCTTAAATGGCTCGAAACAAATAATTTTTCGTTTACTGTGCATTTTAATTACGTTATTGAATTATCATCATCATTTTATGTTGTTTTCTCACGAGATTTGTATATTGAATTACGATTATTGACGCTAAAACAATAAGAAGAAATATTCGTTTCAATCTTGCATAGCATGCAAAATAATTTTCAGTGTTTTATTATTCCGTTATATATTTTTACATTTATAAATCAACGAACATTAAATAAAATGAATTCTGCTTTTCGATAAAAACAATTCCGCGAAGAATAATTGACTTTTTGACATATCTAACAAATATCACGATTCATTAACTATTATATACAGAATGGGAAGTGGAATGGGCTTATAGCTGATCTCGTCAATCGAAAGACCGATATGGTAATGACTTCGTTGATGATCAACTCGGAAAGAGAAGCGGTGGTCGATTTCACTGTTCCTTACATGGAAACTGGTATTGCCATTGTTGTAGCAAAAAGAACAGGCATAATATCTCCCACTGCATTTTTAGGTGAGAAACGTATTATAGAAACCGCTTTGCAAACGATATTTGTGAACATGTTTATAAATTGATAATATACATATATATCTAAAAAATATATGTTATCTTTATCATAAATAAACATTGTTACATAAATTAAGTAAACTATTTACGGAAGCATGTTACTGTTATTTTGAAATATTAATATTACTGTATAAATTAAGGGAATATTTACAAAAGCGGTAATTTCGCACGAATCGTCACCGCACGAAAATACATGGCGCTAAAATACATGTCGGTATAACCCAAAACAGAATTTGCTTTAGCATCTAATGCATTTTCAGAACCGTTCGACACGGCTTCGTGGATGCTAGTAGGCATTGTTGCCATACATGCCGCAACGATAATGATACTGCTCTTCGAGTGGGCATCACCCTCCGGGTTCGACATGAAGGTAAACCCTTCAGGCGCTGCGCAAAAACTGGTATTTTTTATTTCGCTTTTTATTAACTACGTATATATGTTTTTTCTTCGTTTGCACCTTTACCTTTTCAACGCACAAATATTGTGGTGTCATAATTAAATAATAACTAATTAATTCTAACGCATGCTTCAGTGTTTGTAGTCGAAAATGAAAAGAATACATTCCTCTTTAATATTATACTTATACTGGCTTCTAATTTGCAGTTATTGTTCGTACAATTTTGTATAATTAACAAAATTTTTGTACAGAAATTTACTATTTTGTATATATTTTGTATGTGTATTTTTTATCATTACGTGATGTCCTTATATAATAACTCACTACTTTTTTTCAGCATTACGTATGATAATTTGTTTTGCACGTATCTTGTGCACAGTTTTATAAAAGCCACTGCGATGTTATCATAATCATAATCGTTAAATTAAATTTTTAATTGGAAAGGATGTAATAACGATGTACTGTATTTCTTATAATGTACACATGAGCAGTTTCAAGTTTTTTGCTCATGTTACTGCTATCATTACATGGAATATTTTTTATGTTAGTGATACAGATCTTTTCCTTTCTGCAGAATAATCCATCGACGAACCATCGATTTTCCTTCTGTCGCACGTACTGGCTGGTCTGGGCCGTATTATTTCAGGCTGCCGTCCATATCGACTCTCCCAGAGGATTTACAGCTAGGTCAGTGAAAAGGATCCTTTTCCCCAAGAACGTCGTTTTCCCGACGAATTTTAATTACCGACCCGAGATAGAACTCGAGCGACAAATTAGTCTTCCGGTACTTCGCTTAACCATTCGAGATCGGTCGCTGTGCATAAATATTTCTGAGCAAACATTTACTTGCCGACTACCGTTTTGAAATATAAATTACTCCAACAAGTTATAAATTGTCAATCATATATTGGTATAAGTTATACATTTTGTTGATACAGCTTCAGTTTTATAAATTGAATTATACAATTTTTATGTTAACTCATATTCTATTTATTTTAAATATTAAAATAGAATTGAGACAACTTTAATAAAATATATTAGAAATATAAATATGAAAGAGGAAAGCTTGTTAAAGTTAAACATATGTCTTAGAAGAAAATTGTTAATGTTAATTTTATTGGATATTTATTTTACTATTGAAACTGATATAATACATATATGGTATAATATAATTACTATAATTAAAGATCTTTAAAATTTAATTGGCTCATTGTCCTTATCTCTTTATATTATAGTTGTAATTAAAGAATCCTATATAATGATAAAAAATATTAATATTAAAAATTAATTAACAAATGTTTTTTAACAAATAAATGTTTTATTAACAGTATAATATAATTTTATTAATTTTTATAAAAATTGCAAAGTATTTGAATTAAATATTTACAACACACAAATAAAACACATAATTTATAAAAATTATTAAAAATAATTGTTACTAAATGTCAACGTTCTACACAGATTTATGACAAACGTCTGGGCATTATTTGCCGTGGTCTTCCTCGCCATTTACACTGCCAATTTGGCTGCCTTCATGATCACGCGGGAAGAGTTTCATGAATTCAGCGGTGTGGACGATCACAGGCTCGCTAAGCCCTTTTCTCACAAACCCATGTTCAAATTCGGCACGATACCATGGAGCCACACAGACAGTACGCTAGCAAGGTATTTCAAGGAGATGCACTCCTACATGAGGGCTTTCAACAAAACCAGCGTTGCAGACGGTATCGAAGCTGTCGTTACTGGGTAAATATAATTTTGTAATAGAATTTAAAATTTAATTGTCAGACAAATCAAAATAAAAAATAAAACAATTATTTAAAAATAACATAAAAGCGTAGCAAATTTATATTGCGATAAAAACATTTCTCGTTTATGTAAACGATTTGTGTACAGATATCTATTTAAAAAAAATAAATTTTTTAATTTGTATGTTTTTGTTTAGTAGATTTTATATAAAAATTGCAAAAGATTTTAGTAATTGAAATAAAATATTTTATTTGATCTATTCGTATACGTTTATATTTTATACGAATTTCAACAAATATAATTAGTATAAAAATATGTTAGTTTAAAACTGATTAAAGAAATAAAAATTTAATTATCTTTAAAGTGGAGCACTCCATATTTAATTCTATAGCATTATACATAAATTAGAAAAAGTCTCTCGACATTGGTTTCAACGTAAAGCGGATTTAAAATATCTCTATGAGAGTATAATAAGGTACAGAGTATCTGTTATGACTTGTGCAGAGAAATGGATGCGTTCATTTATGACGGCACAGTTTTGGACTATTTGGTCGCTCAGGATGAGGATTGTCGATTGCTAACGGTCGGATCATGGTATGCCATGACGGGATATGGTCTGGCGTTCTCCAGGAACTCAAAGTACTTACAAATGTTCAACAAGCGGCTGTTGGACTATAGAGATAACGGTACTTTTGCATGTGCTCCAAATCTTTTTAAGCATCCCGAAGAATACTTTCACATCTAAAAGATCCTTCTGTGTGTGTAAAATATATAGATCCGTAAATTTTATTTGATGGATTACTGCGCGATTATTCTTCGTATTTACGTCATTCTGTCAATTCTAGGAGATCTGGAGCGGTTGAGAAGGTACTGGATGACTGGGACGTGCAAACCTGGGAAGGAAGTACAAAAGAGTAGCGATCCGCTAGCATTGGAACAATTCTTGAGCGCATTTCTGTTACTGATGATGGGTATTCTCTTGGCGGCAGTCTTTTTACTTTTGGAACACCTGTACTTCAAATATATCAGACAGCATTTGGCAAAAAGCGACGACGGTGGCACATGCGCTATTTTCAGCTTGGTAAGCATTGCGGATTTTAATATCGCGAAAATCTCTTAATTTCCTGTGCTATTTCTGGAACTAGGTCATTCTTAACTTTAAAACCACCTATAGAAGGCGACAGATGTTTAAATATTAATAATATTTTTTAAAACCGTGCAACACAATGATATAAACTATTTTTTTATTAATTCACGATAGATGTTGTATATCTTTTGAGTAAAATGATTTAATTGATAAAAATTTATTAGAATTAAGGACAAAATATAATACAAAATGTTTAAAATATATTGCCAAAAATAAATTTATAATGAAATTAAATTCCATATATAACAGTACCTTAACATCTAAAGGATGTTTCCTTGGATGTTTCTAATTTTTTTGCAAATATATCGAGAAATCCTTGTGCATACATTTTTATCTTACTCGATAATATCTATTTTCGTAGACTTCGATTAGTATTGAAAACTTAAAGAGGATAACACAGTATGCAAAATGTTTTATTTAAAGAGCGTGGGAAAGTCCTTGACTTTTCGTGGTGCAGTGTACGAAGCGCAAGATATCTTAAGGCATCATAGATGCAAGGATCCGATCTGCGACACCCACTTATGGAAGGTCAAGCACGAACTTGACATGGCTAAGATCAGGATACGGCAGCTTGAGAAGGATCTCGAGGCCCACGGAATAAAGCCAACTCAGACCAAGTACGCTCCGCCCTTCTCCTAATACCGTTTAATTCCGTATCAAACTACGAAAGTACTCGACTGCACCGGGTATTTGCAATGCGATCGAGCGAAGAGCCAGATTGATCAAGTTGAATCGCACGGCTTGCGAAGACAGAGACTTGCCCCTCTTACTCATCAGCCATGCTATTCGATTATCTTCGAACTCGATCGCTTAATATCCGATGAGGAATCGTTTCCTCATAAATAATTCGATCATAACAGTTTTCCGTTTAATTGATTTTATTGCTTTTTACTAAAACAGAGAACTCAAATTTTTTCTAGAATAATTCGTCTTGATATTTGCATCAGAAATCTGTAACAAATGAGGTCCTTTTTTTATATAATTAATCTTTTAATGCTCTGGAATTTCCTGAATCGAAATGTCATACTTGTGTACGACGAGAAAATGAAAATTTAATGTTACGAGCTATTGATATTGAAAAATTTTTAATTTTAGTAAACGAGATTTAAAAAAATATGGTAATTCTTTTAGCGCGCGTTGCACAGGACGAAAATAAAAGTGAATCAATATTACATAATATATATATCTAGCTGCAATAACATTCTTTTCAATTTCAACACAATGTACAACAAAAATTAAATTAATTTATTTTAAACGTGATCGTGTTTTTTCAGTGTACGTTTGAAGATACTGTTAAAAAAACTATTACATACCTCAAATAAAAATACAAAGCTCGTAGAAACAATTTAAAGGGATTAAAAAAATAAGAATTATTTGTGAAAAACTATTTTGGTAATAATTATATTAAAATGTTTGATTCAGCAATAACCAATACGTCGTGAAATTGAGTTTAACATTGACATTGAAAGATTAATTGACATGATTTATAAATTAAGTAAAAAATGTGGCAGAGAACGAGACATTCAATTCATCGATCAGCATTATACATATTCTATCATTTTTTCTCTAGATTACGATTACGCTTTCACAAAAGATACTTTTCCCAAAGTGCTGTCGCTTGTTTTCCATCTCCGAAACTAAAAACCTTTGTTCTAGAAAGCTTTTTTTGAGTCTCTTCCACACTCTCTTTACTTTTTTCCGGAAATTATACTTCGCAAAGCGGAAGTGGACCCGTGATAAAATCTACGCATGCAGTTGCACAGTTATTCTTATACCTGTCTTTGTTCTAATATCTTGAACAAACTTATGCTCGATTCTCTATGCAAATTTCCATGTTACAGTTTAATTTATTACGGAAATTATTGTTGTACGAAAGTAGCACATCTCGAATAATTTCCAGACTGAGCTTAAGTAGTAACCCACTTTCTAACATCACTTGGAATCTTGTTCGCACAGCATGCATCTATCTATAATAGAGCAAAACGTGCGTTTTCGATGGGATGTCAAATGCGTCGACATCTTTTAATATTGCATGGAAGTGCTCAACACGTTTTCTTCTTTTTTCATCTTCTCTTTTACTACTGACAAGCTTTTTTCAAAATATTGCTACTTTATATTAAAATCGCATATTAAAATGTACTAAATGTAATATTAAATAACATTTATTATTAATTTTAATATTCTTTAAATATTAATGTTCTATTTTCTTCAGTATTTCAAAATAATCTTAATTTGGATATGTTTTTAAAACTCAATTTTTGAAAAACGATATTATTGGTGAAATTTTTGATAAATTGCATTTGTGTATATATACATATAAGCGTTCTGTATTTATTTCAAATACTACAAAATTAAATTTGCATTTTTTTAACATAGGAGAAATGTAAAATATGGAAAAAATATTTATTTAGATATATTCCATTGAAAACGCTCGCTTTGCCATCTCGATTTAGTTTCGGTAACAATATATATCGTGTACATATTTATGCTTACATACGTACCTTAATATCAAATATTAGCACTCGCACCTGATTTCTTTTCTATTGTCCGTTGGCGGCCTCATATGCTCACTGTGTAGATAATCTTATTCTTATTTCGTGAGAAGCGAATCCATCCGTATCCTCGTGTTTGAAAAATAAAAGAAAAGAAACCTCCACGTGAGTAGAGTGTTACATGGGGTACCCGGGGTGTCGTTTCGAGAGAACGGGAAATGGTTTATTTGGATCATGTTAAGTGATAATTGGTGGTTCGATGGTGTGAAGGAAGCCTGGCACATATCCACGTCAGCTTTTTTAAAGGAGGAAATCCGGAAGTCTCGGCTGGTGGCGAGGGTGCTTCCAAAGTTCGGACCGCCATACACAACCGGAGCCATTGGCGGTGGAAGCTCCGCATCCGCTACCGCCATACTTCGATTCGTAAGTCCGCAATGCTAAACTACACGTAAGAACGTTCAGTGACGCAGGAACTATCATTAAAATATCCTTTTGTTAACGCTTCGATAAAATTCTCTCTCTTGGAATAATATAATTTTTCATAATCAAATTACTTGAAAAAAAAAGTCCTAGTAGTGATATATTACTCTGATTTATCTTACGTCTTTATTATGTGTTATAATTAATTATAACAACATTAAACATAACAACATTTAACACAATCAAAACATTTCAACGCTATTCGAATGGTACAATTATCTATGAATTATCACTACTTTTAAAATTAATCGGAGACTATTCTATAGCGTGACCGTAATCGTGACGCTAATGTGTAGCATTATAGAAGAGCTGTTGCAAATCCCTTTCGTAAAGTCCTTTTTACTTCGAACGTTAAAAAACTGAAACCACTTCATATAATTACACTCTGATCCCATGACACAATTGGTATTCACACTTTGAATTCAACTGCAGTTCCTACGTCACTGTAATCGGTCTCACATGGTGTAGCAAAAGATCGTTCCACTGATCGATAAAATTTTGCCACGACTCGCGCGATCCCGCGAGGCTCTGTTGTTTCGTAAACTCGCGCAACCTCCGTTCCCCTTGACTTCACTTTTTCTATAATGAAGAAAAAAAAATGTCCGGCGAAAGAAGAGACGCCGAGCATCACGCGGATCGACGACGGCGGGCGCCTCGCTTAGAGGGATCAATAAGTAGAATAAGAGGGACGTATAGAGATTAGGGGTATAGCCGCTTTTCGCTTCTCTCAGTTCTTTGTAGACTGGTAGATCGTTTGCATAAGTTACGCATATATAAGTATTTCTCGCTCATACACTTTCGTGTCGTTCTTACTATCACGGATATCTTTTTTTTTTTTTTTTACTTTAATGTATGGGCATGGCATGCGAATTCCAGAAGGAAATAGCTAGATAATTTAGGCGTATCGGTGCCAACAGTGTGTACATTATTGGTAATTACCTGTTGTAGTTTGTGGCGGTTAATCGATTAATTACCTATAATGTCCGACGGCGACAACGAGACAACAACGCGGGGGGAAAATTAATTTGGGGAATATTGAGAAAGTGCCGTGATCGGGGCGAAGACGGAGAGCATGATAAAGTTTACCTTATACGTGTAGGAGGCAACTTCCATAGTGTTATGACGGCGATGGCATAATTCCCGATCATTTATATTCAGGTACATCGATGCCGTCGAGGTTGCCCGTCCGAGGGACATGAGTAGAAACCATGTGGTCAGTACGGAATACGCCGAGACGTTCCTACCCACGGAGATTTACAGGTAAAAGCGAGGAATTATGTGACGTTGGATCGGAGAAACTAATTGTGTGAAAATGCGATATTATTTACCTTAATTATATATTACATGAAGAATTTCACAAAATAAATTTCTTTAATTGTCTTTTAATTATATATATTATTATTAATTTATCACTTATTTGAATACATATAATTTATTATTAATTTAATTTTAATAGATAATGTGAACTACATTATACATGTGTATATGTAAAATCTATCAAATTTCAAAATATATATTTGTGTATTTAAATTATGTAATTGTATAATTGTTGAAAATATTTGATTTTTAGATAACATGTATTTGCATGCAAATAGCATTGTTCTATAAGTAATTCTGTTATATTAATGTAATATGACAGAATATATTTTATTAATGTCTCATATTAATGTTTCAATTATAATATATTATAATATTATAATAATGTGTATATTAACGTCCTATATTAATGTAACAAAATAAGCACAATGATTTTCATTCTTTATACTTATTTTATGTCAGAGTTGTTATCTTTTTGAAGTTATATAGTATTATGCGATTATTTACTTATAGGTATGTCATTCCAAATTATTACGGATTTTGCGAAAATAAGTAATTGTTTGTGATAGGATTCCCGATGACGAAATGACTAGGACGGAAATCGCCGAAATGGAGACAGTTCTGTGATCGTAAGAGGATTGGCTTCAGTCGCCTAATCGCGCAACACTGGAAGCGTATAGGACGAACTGAGAGGCCTCTGAAGACTCCAGAAACAATGCGATTTAAAAAATCGCGTCGTGTTGCTCCTGCCTCGAACAACGAGCCCCACCCACATCAACCTTTCGTTCGGATGAAGACGCTGATCCGCTGATATCGATCCTCGGAAACTGTCGTCGCGCGCGCGGTGAAACAACGAGAGGAGGAACGTCGTCAGTGCCTATCAATGATTGAGAGTCAACCAGACCAAGAAGACACCAATCGAAGATACTTTATGACTCGAAGAAGTGCATTTGTTATCGACACTCGCGTTATACTCCTGAAAGATGCATTTTTCGCATCTTTCTTGGACAAAGGCACCTTTGTATCCTTTGAAATGGAAGGACTGAATTAGCATGACAATTTGCGACTTTGCGTTCACATAATATAGTGATCGTTAAGAGAAAATGTTTCAAAAAATTACTGAATCTTTGTAACATTCGGACGAATGCTCGATAATCGAGCAGGATTTCAGTTTGCGAGAGATTTATTTTTAACAACACGATCGACAGGGCACGTCGTCGACATTGAAGCTAACTGCTTCGTGTTCACATATGTGTATGACATGTAAAGATTTGTTTCAAAATTTCAACCAGTGCCTAAAATCGTTTGGATATGGATCATAATGTATTATATGATTTATTAAGCATTTTGAAATATTGATAGTAGTTTTGTAATAAAGTAAAGGATTTTTTTAGAATACTTTATAAAATGCAATAATTTTGTTTACGCAATTAGTATCCATTGAATATATCATTTTTTAAATTAAATTCTTATATATTTTTTTCAATTACAAATCAATCAGTAGTAGAAACTTCGATATAGATATTTATTAATAGAATTTTTGTATATATATTTGTTATATCTTTGTGTTAATTTTAATTTTTTATTAATTTGACACTTTTCTTTGGTTTCAATACTTTATTTACTTACTCTACTATCACTTAAGTATTTTTTTTAATAATAATTCTAATTTGTTTAATACTCTAGTCTAATATCATCTGTGTATATATTATTTATTTTTAAGTATATATGAATATACTTAAAATATATGAATAGTAAATATTTTTTTACCCATATTTTAAAACTTTTTATTCCTTGTTTTTGTTATTTATTTTGATATTTATATGTATATTGATATATAATTGTTTAAAGAAATTGCCAATGTAAGAAAAACAATTCGAAAAATTTGAATATTTATTGATAACTGGAAGATCACGAAAAAAAGGCACATATTTATTCAGGCATCAACATTACAAAATAGATAAATTATGGAATTCCTAAATCTTTTAAGAAAGACACATTCAACTTTGTACGAACTCATACCAGTTGTCAAATAAGTGTCATACGATGGTACGTCGATATGAGCAATGCGACAAAATCCAAAAACTGAAGAACCTAATCGATATCTTAATGGAAAATGTCAATGTGTATGATACGAAATACTTACTTGATATCTAAGCCCGTATGTCGGATAAAGTTAGTGTGAATGAGTCCGTATAACTATAAAAAGCATAGTATGGTATGTACTATATATATTTAATATGATTACACACACAACAATGAAATATTCTAAAAAAGAATCTACTCGAAGACGTAATATGCTCAAAAACAAGAAGTAACGTATATAATTATGAGATAAAAATCGAATCGTAATGCGCGCGTATCGCGGAGTGTCAGGACACATTACTTAAAAAAGAAAATATCGAGCAAATAAGATAATCGATAACAAAACAGCACACACAGTGCTAATTGAGTGAATCAAAAGATCATAAATGAAGAATTGATAGCTGTTTACATCTGTATGATATATTTTAGTATATCTATATTAATAAAACGAGCGAGCCTAAAATTGTGATTTCGGATCTGCAGGAAATCAGTTGATATATAACAATTTATTATTTCTATATATTTCTCAGATATTTTTTAAAAAACTATACGTAAATTTTATAGATTTTTGTAGACTATGTAAAGTTTTAATATTGATATGATCTTGAAGAAAGAGAAAATGTCGCAATATTTGACATAACGTCCTGACAATCCGCAAAGGATGACGATTACTCGAAACATCAAATGAAACCCCTCGAATAAATTCGAGTTTCACGTGCGCATCGGATTCGAAAATTGGGATTAAAATTTTAATACTTATGTCGCTGTACATAACTGCATTGATTCGTATGAGCTTTAAAGTGCATTGCAGGTTACAATAGTGTTTTTCAAAAAGATAAGCTCATTGATCATAATGATGTATTGAAAATATTTTAAAAAAGCATTTATTATCAATCCACAAAAAATAAAATTTGAATTTGTTTATTAAAATTAGATATAACTATAACAACATATTTTAAAATATTCTATTTAACTAAAAAAAGATGTTAAATACGATCCTCATTTCTTAATATACCTATATTAAGAATTATAATATAATTTTGAGATAATTTTTTTCTTTAATCTTTACTGGTCAAATTTTAACTAATTCTTTTTATTATATAAATTTACATTATAATTAAAATATATTGATTGAAAAATGGAAATTTATAATATTGTGTATATAAACACATATTAATTTTAAAATTAGACAATTTTTTGTTTTAAATAAATTTACTTACACTAAGTGCTTCTACAAACATTCAATACATCATTTCGCATCAATTTTTTAGAAATATACTTATTTTATATTAATTATAGATCCAAATATATTTTTTTACAATAAAATTTGTAACAATGAGTAAAAATATTAAATTAATATTTATTGTGATACTTTTATAGGAAATTATGTTTTTCAGACTTGCAATGCACGTTATAATGCGGAGTAAATAAAAATCGGAGCATATTTTGTAGGTAGGCCTACGAAAGACTTCGAGATGCTCGCGATCATTCCGCTTAATCCCATTTGTATTTGTAAAATCATTAACTATCCATAATTATTGTGTGATGTGCGTACGTGGATGTTGGGACGCAAATTCTCGTCATCCGCGGAATATTTTAAGAAATACATTGCTATCAGAAGAAAACATGTTGTTACTGTTGTTGTTAAAGATAAAGGAAAATGTTATGTTGTTAAGTCAAGTGCGAGACATAATTATCCTCAGAGAGTATTGGCGCGCCATATTCGATATACATGTTATGATAATAATGGAGCCGGCAGGGTCGCTCGAGTTTTTACGTGCTCGAACATTCGCGAAAAATTGATGATCTTACACATTCACATATATTTGTACGTCCATTGAATATGTGTAAGAAAAATGTGTAGCTTAAAATCTTTGGAAAACTTTTATTTTTTATAAAATTTTATTATACGTAAATATTAAATTTACTTTATATAAGCCATTATTCTACTTTTAGTAATATCCTTTTAATTACTTTAACTTATTTAACTTGTTTATAATTTTACACATATAAATATAATTTATAATAACTTATTTATAATCATTTTTTATATTTTAGATATAAAATGGGAACATCTTTTATTAAATTTATGAAAGAATTTAAATACAAAACGGGTAAAACTTAGACATACAAAAGATGTTCGAGCAGCTTATTAAAAATTGCAAATGTAAGTACACGCGATTTAAATACTCCAAAGCCGATTACGCCAATACTGCCAGCTCCAAGGTATTATATATGCCATATCCTAATTAAACTTCTAAAGTTAAGATCCTTGTATACTTGAAATCTTTTTCACATGTGGGCTCTCATTCCTATATCAAAAGCTTCCGTATGAGCGTGTGGAAAGGATCCAATCCTCTTATCGGTCTGAATAAAGTGTAAGACAAGGATTTTCGATCCTTGATTTCGGAGTGAATTTGTACGCGATTACGTGAGCGAGAGAAAAATTTTCCACACGTGCGCATCCTTTTCGCTTTACGTCTCCACTGTTATAAACCCCTGTGTGCATTCGTAAGCTTGCACTTCCCGATTACGTTCATTTACTCGAGCGACCGTTCTCCACGAATGCAAAGTGCCCCTACTTTTGGTCATTCCTTGTTGTACGGTGTGCGCACTCGCAATCTATCGCGGTATCGCTCGAACTTGTAAACTATTTACCAAGTGGCAAAGAAAAAGCATTTCAAATATGTTTACGTCAATAGTCTTCTTAATCGAGTGGAGAATCAAGCATTATCAAGCGGCACGGTTATTTACCGGTTAGTTGACGCAACGATTAGTAGCCCATTACCTTAATTAGCTAATAAGATTAATAGAATGAAATAATCATAAACTTTAATTTATCGATTAATTGTTATTAAACGCTAATGGAAAACGTGAGAATTGATGTGAATGTGAAAATTAATCCTGCGGAGGAATTATAATACATGTTCCTTGTCGCTGTTTTCAATATCGCTCAGAGCGCATAACTTGAGCGTGTATAAAGCGTCTTGAAACTGTAAACGTTGCGGACGTTGCGATTTAATTGATTAATTTTATATGTGAATATATACATATATATATATATATATATATCGTGGGCCTTTATATCGAATGTGATGTTAAAGCAGTCACTATTGATCGTGGAGCGACGTTCTCCAGACACTGCCTAACTTAGAGCTGGTTTTTATCTACGGCGAGGTGACACAGTGATACAGCATGTGAATTGCGAAAGAAATTCAAGTTGACTACAGAACGGTATAAATCACTTTGCATTTATCAGACGTTTCCTTTTTTACTCCATCTCGTAGGTTTTATAATCGGAAATAAGTGTAGCGAATAACACCTCCGCGCAAAAGTTTGTTTCTTGCGAGACGCAATCTTATGCGAATAGAAGACTCAATGAGTATGAAAGTGTTAACAGAAATTAGATTGCATTAGTCTAAGTAACATTGCACCACACATACACACCCAAAAGTTCACGATACTACTTAATATCCAAATTTGCTTAAAAACTTTAATATTGCTATTTATAGAATTCCTATTACTCGTAAATTATTTCGTACATTACTTTTGTTTACACTGAATAATTTTAACAATATTTTTTACTATATAAGGTGCAATATTATTGCTAATACAATTTAAGCTCTCGTTATGATATTGCGATGTCAGTACATACAAACTTCAATCATACGTGAACGATCATTACACTATATAAATTTTCAATCTATAAAATTCCTTTGGCGATACTCGCATTTAATTCACATCATTAAAGCCAATGAAGAATAGAATCTTCTAATTCTTTTCTTTACTATACATAATTCAAATTATTACAAAATTGAATTACAATGTAGGTAACAAGGACAGTGCTTGTAAAAACATAAAATCTGTCACAACGATTCGTCAATCAATGAGATTGCGAAGTTCCCTCAAAATATCATTGTGCGCACACACGAAATAGCGGCCTTAATAATTTCCAGTATAGTAGTCGCTGCGAAATCCTTATATTCGTAACTATTAAACGTACATTGAATTTTTCCAAACCGAGAGTACATGATGATCAACTTCTTTTCATGATCTCTATCGGATTCACATCCCTCGCCTTTTAAACTTTCTATTGCTAGCCGAAACTCTTTCGATCA